GCTAAGCCATTCTGCTAGTGGGCGCAGAACCAGTCAAAAATGCTACCACAGATGTAGATAGCCCTTCTTCGTTACGCCTCACGAGGTTCCCCGGCTTATTGTTGGTCGAGCAGGTTTTTTGCTCCGTACCCTAAAGTTTGTCGCCCAATGTGAGCTTCTCCACGATATTATTATGGTATTTGTAGCTGGTTTTAGTGGCGCGATCACCCAAAAAATGTGTCCTACTTGTCTTTACCGTAGCTCTCGTCCATTCTGGGCGCTCTTTCACAAGCGGCAGTGCTTTTCTCAACCCGTTATGACCTCGGTTTTCTTTTTATGGCTGTTTAAAGGCTTCCTTCCTCTGGCAGCGGTTTCCGAGGTCATACGGAGTACTCGTTGACCACATTTCTTTAGAAACTCTGGAATTTTCCTCCCATGATGTTCTCTTCATTGTGGTTTTTGGTTGTATTTGTATTAAACTTATTCAGCTTTTACGTATGAAAATCTGTTTTATAGGACCATTATCCAAAGAGTGTATGCGGAAATTCCCATTGCAGTAGCGTCCCTTGCCACAGTAATCTCTTGCAACAAATCGTACGGAGAGCAACACGTTTGTACCGCCTCTCCTCTCTCTGTCTGGTCTAATGGAAACACTTCTTACACAGCTAAGAACTTGGCTATTCAGTTACTTAGATGAAGTGTCAAGATTGGGCATCAGAGCTCCCTTAAGCTTCAAAAAACTCGTTGACTCCCACGCGACGACTAATTCAGCTCTGTGTACTGAATGTTTTTAGGCTTTAAAATTGTTTGGACATAATCGTAAATCCTCAATATGCAGGTAGTGGAGTGGGTTATCAATTTTTTGGTGTCTTCCTCGAAGTGGTTTTCCCCCAACCTATTCATACACTACTCCACCTCTCCTTTTACCGGTTTGAAAACCACGGAGATAAAAAGATAGTAATCTGTTGGGTATCATATTGAAACGAGGTGAGCAGTTCCTTTGTGTCGTTGCCCGTGTATCGTCTGAATTTGCATTGCTGCCGAAATGTTTTGTCGCGTCGACAGCTCTCAGCGAACCAACTTCGAACCGGTCTGGTTGCAAAGGATACAAGTCTGGCCACATTACCATTTCTCAAGCGGATGGTGACTGGGGATGACAAGTAATTCACTTACAGCAACTTTGAATGAAAATAGTAGTCCTCGAGTTGGACCAGAAACTCCGAGAGCTTGGTTGGAAGGATCTTATGCATCCACCCCACCTAAATGAGACCTCGCACAAAGTGATTACCATCTGTACGTGATAATGAACGATTTGGTTGGGGAAAAATCGGCCTTAACTATGATGGAAAACGAAATGAGTTGCAGTGTGCCTTTACGATTTTCCCCCATAAAATATCAAAAATGATGATTGGTTTCTGTAAATGATTTTCAATGGTAAATTGCTGCAAGGAAGGCAACAGAAAAGATCATTTCCGGTGTGCAAGTGGACAATTCATAGGAAAGGCATGTGTAATTACACAGTCATCGCAAACACCACCACGAATACAGCCGAGACACGACAGCACGAACACGTCAGCGTTCGTTGAATGTCAGCACGGGTTGATCGATGGCAGAATTTCGTATTGAAATGTTTAAAAATTGTCATCTTTCAGATTTAAATCAGCGCATAGCAATCAAAGTGACTGCATAGTGAAACTCAGAGGCACGTCTGCAGACATAATGCGGCTCACCACAAGCCCATATACCTACCAACCTACTTAAATATATATTTTTAAAAAATATTGTAAATAAATATATGAAAATTACCAAATGCATTTATAAATTAAGAAAACTTTGCCAATAGCAAATGTAAGCTGATGTACTTACATGTATGTAGATGTAGATATGTGTGTTGGTCACTAGTAGCCCAGACGTTTAGCCAGTATTAGTAGATACATATATATATATATAATATACATATGTGTTTGAATGCACAGATTCATTAGCCAAAAACGTAAACACCCCATTTACAAGTGTAAATCTCAGAGAGATATACGTATATGTGTATGTGTGTATGTATGTATGTATGTATGTACGTAAATGAATTTACATAGTGCGGGTGCATGCAAGCAGCGTTGAGTGGGATGAGCGGCGTCGGTTAGGTTTTGTGATGACTGAAAGCGGCGTGCAGTCACCCAGCCGCAACCCTAATCGTTGCACATAAATTTTTATGAATTAATTCAACAAATTTTTGGCAGTTTTGTGATCATTAATAATTCGGTGTTTGCTTTTGCTTTTACTCGGAAATAATTTTGCTTTTACCATTCATTCAAGTTCTTCGTCTTATATACCATGTTTTGTACATATGTAGTATATATATTTAGATATATAAACTATAAACGTACCCACATACACGTGTATATATATGCAGTAATCTTTGTATTGTAATTTTGCTTTGAAAATTCTTGATGAACACAATATTTTATTTTATTTTATTACCCACATACACGTGTATATATATGCAGTAATCTTTGTATTGTAATTTTGCTTTGAAAATTCTTGATGAACACAAAGTTCATGTACAATACATACTATATACATTATTAAACAAATCTTATGTTTAATATTCATGTATCTATATTAAGCGCATAAACTACTGTTATTTTGTCTATGAGCTAATGATCATCTCGAAGTATGCATCATCGCTTGCAAAGTAATTTGATTTAAAAAAAAAATCTATAAATAATTTGTCTCACTTGCTTTGTACTTTTATTGTAATGTTTACATGAAAATTTAAATTAAAAAAATTTTGTTTCTTATTTCTCGACATTTATTTTGGACGGAAACTTACTTAATTTAATTCGAAATTAACGAAGTGTTTTTTTAAATATCTATGTGAAAGTAAGGCGACAAAAATATATTTATTATTATTTATTTTATCTTATCCTTTTTCATCTCATTTATTTTATTTCATTTACCCTTATCCGGTTTTATTCCATAATTTGATTATATTTTATTTTATTTTACATTAATTTATTAAATTTAATTTTTAATTACTTAGCTTTATATGGACTTATATATTTATTTATGATTTATTTTATTTATTTATTTACTTTGTTTTCGTTTTAGTTTTTCTTCTATTTATTTAATTTAATTTATTTTGTTTTAATTCATTTTACTTTAATTTATTTTTATTTCATGTTTTTTGGTTTTATTTTATTTTATTTTATTTTATTTTATTTTATTTTATTTTATTTTATTTTATTTTATCTTTTTCACTTCATTTATTTTATTGCTTTTACCCTTAATTTTTTTTTATTATTTTATTATATTTAATTCTTATTTAATTTATTTTCTTTTAAATTAATTTGTTTCGTTTTTTTTATTTTATTATATTTCATTATATATATTTCAGTTCATTTTTACTTTTTTCTTTTATTTTATTTAATATATTTTATATTACTTAGCTTTATATTGATTTATTTTCTTTATATAACTTTATTTCCATATTAATTTTTATTTTAATTCATTTATTTTTTTTTAGCTCATTTTATTTTAATTTATTTTTATTTCTTGTTATTTTGTTTTCGGTTATCTCATTTTATTTTTTATAAATTATTTGTTTTCCTTTTATATTATTTTGTTTTTATTTTATTTTTATTTATTTTCTTTTATTTGTGTTGGTTTTATTTTATGTTGATTTGTTTTATTCTATTTTACTTCAATTAGTTTTATTTTATTTAATTTTTTCACTTCCTTTTAATTTACCTTAATATTTTTTATTTAATTTAATTTTGCATATCACTTTTTCGTATCATTTTATTTCGCTTTAGTTCATAACATTACATTGTATTTAATTTGCTTTATTTAAAATAATTTAATTTAATTTTATTTCAATTAATTACTCTATTTATTTCAGTTTAATTAATTAATGTATTTTATTTGATTTTGTTTTTAATTTTTTTTTTATTTACATTAGTTTTTTTAATTTTGTTCATATATTTTATCTCATTTCTTTTTATTTAATTTTTTTAAGCTTATTATATTGAATTACGTTTTTTAAATTTATATTATTCTGTTTCAATTTTAATTTAATTTATTTCAATTTGTAACAGTTTTTATCTTATCTTATTAATTCTTTGCTATTTTTTTATTTTATTAATTTGTTTTATTTTTACTTTCTATTTTCATTTCTTTTTATTTATTTGTTTTTATTCTATTTTGATTTCTTTTTAAATCATTTCATCTTAACTTATATTATTTAATCTTATTTTATTTGATTGTATATAATTTAATTTAATTTTATTTAATTTATTTAATTTTACTCTTTAATTTTTTTTTTTCATTTTGTTTCATTTATTTTATTTAATTGTATGTTATTTTTTTATTTGTTTTATTGAATTTGGTGTTTTTTACCTTATTTTATTTATTTTTAATTAAAATTTTGTTATTTCATTTAATTATATTTTTAATGTTTATTTATTTATGTATATTTTTTTGTTTATTTTATTTTGTTAATTACAATTTTTACTTATATTTTGTTTAATTTTATTTAACTTCATTATATTATATCTTCATTTTTAATATATTTTAATATTTTACTTTTTTATTGCAATTAATTTTTTTGATTTAATTTTTTTATATTATTTTACTTTGTTTATTTTATTTTCTTATATTTATTTAATATTTTATTTTTATTTAATTTCGAACTGTCAGTATTATATCAGTTTTTTATCTTATTTTATTAATTATTTTATTTTATTTATATTTACTCCATTCTAGTTTTATTTTTGTTTCTATTTTGGTATACATATTTTTATTCTGTTTTATTATATTTTACTTTACTGTAATACTATTTTTTCTTTAACTCTGAATCTGTCTGAAATTTGATTTCTTCAATAATCGTTACAATTTTTAACTCGCATTTATTGAAGAATAATAAAATATACTTTAGTTTTAATATTATATTTTTATAATTAACGAGCTAAATATCTTTAGTTAATTTCATTTTTAAAGTTTATATAAACATTTGTTATTTTCAGATGCGCGAAGCTGCGTCACCTGTGATAAAGTATTAGCGGAACTCGAAAAAATCGACGATGACACCGATTCATTTGGTGTTGACTTCGTTAAGATTAACGATAAACGACTAGCAAAACAATATGGCATTAAAAATTTCCCAGCACTCACGTACTTCAGGTAAATAATAATTTAAAACACACTAAAAAAGATAATTTTTGAACTCTCACAAAATGTGACTGATTTGTCGCTGCTTCTACATAAATCGCTGGAAAAAGAATTTCTTTTCACTACAAATTTATTTTCAAGTCTAATGAAACCGGTAGAGAGCATAGCGGTTTTTTTAAATAATTAATATTTTTTATTTATTTGAAAGTATGAGTTAAAGCTACACGTTTCTTGTATAATTAATATGTGTATATAAATATATATATATATATATTTAATTAAATTAAAAACAATTGTTTTCATTTAAAAAAATATGCACTTGCAGGGAAAAAGAACCAATTATCTATGATGGCGATCTTATGGACGAGGAGGGTGTACTCGACTTTCTCACCTCACTCGAGGCCATGGACCTGCCCGATCGCATTGAAGAGGTTAATTCAAAGATACTTTTAAAGATTATCGAGGATACTGACTTTGTAGCTGTGCTATTCTGTAAGTTGTGTGTTTGTTGTGTTGTAAAAAGAATTAAATTTCACTTTATTTAGTTCAGTTTTTCCATTACATTTTTATGCAGTTGATTTTTCTTGCACATTCAGTAGTTATATTTCAAGCATTTACAAAATATATCTTTTTTAGTTTTTAAGTAGTTTTCTTTTTTAGCATTTTTCATTTCATGATGTTTAAGTTGTGATCTTTTTTTTAGTATAAAAAATGTAAAAATAAAATATCAAAAAGCAGTTGCAGTTTTTAGTAAAATGTTTTTTTTTTTATATTTTTATTTAGTAAAATGTAGTTACTAATTTGTAGGATAGAATATTTATGCCGAATTTATTTTTAAATGAATTTAACTTTTTTAGGAAAACACAAAAAATTAAAATTTAATAAAAACATTTGTTACTAAAACTCGCAGATAAACAGAAATTAGGTAAAAACTCTAGAAGTTCCAATTTGGCAGGTTTTTCACGCTAACCAGTGCATTTGTGACTAACAAAGTATATAAAAATAAAAAGTAATAAGAATTGAAAACAATGTGGAGTTGAACTGAATATGCGGAATTATAAGAAAAAAATATCAAAAATAATTAAAATGGGACGCAACGACGAAAAGTAAAAAAATAATAAATATTATTTTTTTTTTATAAAAAAAAAATTAAATTATAAATATTTTGATTTTAATTTTTTTTTATAAAAAATTATAAAAGGAAAAAAATTACATTACATAAAAAAAATAAAAAATAAATAAAAAAATTTCAAAAAAAAAAAACAAGTAAAAATATTTTTTTATCAACCTATATTTAATTTTTTTTTGTGCAAAAATTAAAAAAGATAATTTCACACAAAAGAATCAGAAGGAAATTAAAAGAGTACTAAATTTTTTAAATGAAGTTAATAAAAATATTTAATTCCTAAAAAATTTAGTAAAAAAATTTATTTAATTTATTTTTTTTAGAAAAAAAAATTATTTTAAAAAATACTATACAAAAAAATATCTATAGAAAGTAAAAAAAATTGGAAGAAAATTTCAAATTTTTTTTTTACTATTCTTTTAATTCTTTCTTTTTAAATTAAAATAAAATTAACATTTTCACAAATATGAATTGCTTTTTAAGAAAGTATTAAGCAAAATTCATTAATAAAAGTAAAAAAATATTTTGTTTCATGAAAAAAAGTTAATTAAAAATGTATTTTTTTTTTAATTTTTATAAAAAAATTTAATTTAAAAATAATAATTTGTGCAAAAAAATCCTCAGAAAGTTAAGAAATGTGTAAAATTTTTTAAAATTATTTTTTAACATCCTCCTAATTCATTTTTTGCACAAAATAATAAAAATAAAATAAATTTCTTTATAAAAAAAGGAAGACTGTTAAAAATGTATTAAACGAAATTAAAAAAAATAAAATCAAATAAGTTTATTTCGTAAAAAACTTATTTTAACGTTAATTTTTTTTATAAAAGTATTTAAGTTAAAAAAAAAAAATATTTTATGAAAAAAATACCAAAATTAAGTAAAAAAAAAGTTGTAAAAGTTTTTTTAAAACCTTCCTTTTTTTATTTTTTTTTTTTTTTGTGTAAAATAATTAAAAAATAATATTTTCACCACAAAGAGTCAGAAAAAATTAAAAAAGTGGTCTACAAATTTTATTAAAAAAAAAAATTAAAAATATAATAACCACACTCAGCAGCTCTTAATCTGCTCACATACTACTTTTCTACTACTAAGTACTACTACTTACTACTGTACTGACACAATGTCTATTAGACTTTTGGATTTCTACATACATAGATACATACATAGTAATGTACATAAAACTATTCTGAATTGTCAACTACTTCAGGTCCCGATCATGCCACGTGTCCGCCTAGGGTGATGGGTAAGTGTGAAAAGTTGGATATTTTCGAAAATAAAAAATTAAAAAAAAAAATTAAAAATTCTGCCTATCGATCAAAAATTGCCTATCCTCCAACTTACCCAACCAGCATCACCACTATCACCAAACAACCAACCAAAATAAAAACAAAAACAAAAACTACCAAAAATGAATAATAAATGAGAAAAAAAATATTTTAATAATAATAACTGCAGATTAATAATTAAACTAAAATGTTGAACTCCTTGTAAATATATTTTAACTTTCTCCCATGCACACTCATGCTGCATTGCATGAGTTGAGTGAAGTATTTTGGCTAATTTAATGAACTCCTTCTCGTGGCTATCCGTCCAACTTTTGTCCTCCACTTGTTTGTATATCCATATACTCGTACTTTTGTATATATGTAAATATGCATAAAAAGAATGTATTTTGTGTTTGCATGCGTATTTATGTGTGTACATATTATATATACTGTTTAACGGTTATTTGAGCACGAAAGCTTTACTTTGCCTTTGCCTTTGCTAAAATGCTTTTTTATGCGCTAAAATTTATATGGTTTTTAAGTAGGTGTACTCGTATGTATGTATATTATGTAGTAGGAAAATTTTTATATTTCGCTTAAAAATATTTGAAATCAAAAACACCGTTACGCAGGTAGTAGTATGGTTTCTATGTGTATGTATGTGTCAGGAAATCCCAAACTAAATCATTATTATTTTTACATAGCCATAGATACATACAGACATATCTATGTACAATATATTTATACATGCTTGTCTATTCTACCTGTGCATATTTATGACCAGCGAAATGATAATAAAAATGGTTTGAACTATTAAATTATACATCTATTGTACATATGTACGTACACATATACAGCCGCACGTGTGTATGTAGTACCTAAACAGGTATGTTTAGAAATTTCCATTTCATTTGAGAAGAAAAATGTGTTTTCGATTTGAAAAGTTTGTTTATACAAAATGGGAAAATTTATGATGAAACTAAAATTATTTTTAATGAATGAAAAATTTGAAATTTTCACGCAAATCTTAAAAGCCTTTTCTTTGCCTATATATATATGTATGTATATACATACATGCATATATGTGTAATCTATTATTTTTCCATTTTGAATTATTCGATTTTTGTCATTTTGCAGATAATGTCATTATAACACTCTTAGAGAAACACCTTGTCCTCATTGCAAAAGTTGGGGCAATCACACGTTTCTATAGAAATCAATTCTTCACCAATAAATGCTTCAATGTTATCCTCCAGTGCGTCAATTGAAGCCCGCTGTAAGTCTGTATAGACATTAGATTTAACATAGCCCCACAAAAAATAGTCTAAAGCCGTTAAATCGTACGATATAGGCGGTCAATGGCCCGGATTCGAACGTGAAATAAAATGTTCACCGAACCTGAAACCTCGCCCAACAAAACCTTCCTATCCATCAACCCTGGCTTGCATACTGTTTGTGCTGTCTCACTGCCCCACAACCACGACCGTTTTCGTTGGTTATTGCTATAAGTGATCCACTTTTCTACATCAGTCATCATCTGTTTCAGAAATAAGTCGATTTTTTTCTCCTTAACTCGTGTGGGACCCATAGAACGAGCTTCTTTGTATATGTAATTCCATTTGCTTCCCAACTGTTCTGTATGCAATCTTTGGCTCTTGGGCAATCCGTACAGTGCTCGCATGACAATCAAACTGGACGATTTGTGTTTCTATATCGATATTTTCGCCAATTGATATTCTACACTGGTGAGCATCTTTTGCATAAAAATTAGCAGAAAGAGGTTGACAAAACCGAAATTGTGCATGACTGACTGTTTCAGTATCAGAACCATAAACGTTATTCACTTTTTCAGCTGCCTAACTTTCGTTTTCTCTTTGCTGCTGTCCATCTTTGACTTGCAGATCTTGTCGGTAAACAAGGATTTGCTCGGAGTAGAATTAAGGATGCATTCTCGGATCATTTTTCGCTTCGGCCAGTTGTTGTTGTAACCGCAAAATTATTCCCCAAAGTACTTTTTGGGGAATGTTGCGGGAGTGACAGTCCTTGGCTCGTTCCGTTATAAGGACCCGACTGTCGCGGGAACTCTTGGATGTTAGTCGACTCTTACGACAGGCATGCCTTACCACGGGTAAAATCTTGAGCCCCTAACCTGCAGGGGTTCGCTTCGGCTAGTTATTCATTTTTCTGTTGTATTTGTTGTTGTAGCGGCTAGATAACGCCGCAAAGGAAAAGACGAATCTAGCCGGTATCATCAAGCATCGGCATCATCTAAAGGGAGGCACAAAAACGAGACATATTCGTTCGGACCAGAAGAATGAATGGGTTTCTACCGATATGAAAAAAGTGCTTACCGGCATCGAGTCTGCTTTAATAAGAGTAGAGTGCCTTAAAGTGTACGGACTTAAAATATATTATTCTCGGGTCTCGGGTCTCGCGATCGCTCGTTATCTTCTATGGTACAATTGAAAAGAAGAAAGTTTTCCTAATGAATTCTATCTCCAGTGTTAGTGTTTCTGTCCCTACGCATGGCATGATGGGGGGTTTCACTTTAAAAAAGAGTGCTACTCATGCTTCCCAACTAAGAACACAATTATTTCATTATGTAGAGAGTGTACGGGTGACGAAAAGAGGCTTCTTGTTTGCATTGCAAGTGCTAGTAACGTTTCCTCATCGTCTGTAGCAAGTCAAAAACTGGTGGGAGGGCAGTTCAAAACTGCACAAAAGTTATCGATATCTTGGTGATTCTTACTACAGACAATTTTTTCCGTCTCGACCTCAACAGCCGAGTGGTTAGCAGTGCGTACTACTATGTGATAGTTGAGAGAGATTGTTTCAGCTGGGTACCAACTTAGAAGCCAGATGTGCACAACTTAAATCGCGGTTTTGTTTTCTAAGAGACATATATCTTGCAACCACGTCCTACACTTTATTGCCTCTGCTGTAGCAGCCATTAATAGATTCAAATGCATCGAATAAGCTTGCTCTCCTGGCCAAACCTGGCTGGCGGATTTTTTAGAGTGATCGCGATAGTAAAGCAATCTTCAGAGCGCATAACCCTGACTTTCGCCTGGAGAGAGTAGTACCTCATCTCCTCTAAATACTAAATCCAATCTAAGAGTTTGTAAAGAATCAGCTACTCACCGTCCCCTGATACCTCCAATAGGGAGTAGAACCACACCTATTTATGCGAAAATTAATTGTTGCAACAGCAGTTGACCCTCGACTCCTCAAGGGGTTTTCCTTAGAGTTGAGGGTAGAAATTCTGTAGTACTCACGGCGGACATTTGCTAAACTTGTAGCTTTGTCTAATGCCTTCGTCACTGCCCTACACCTTGCCATCGTATTTCGGCTTCAGGTCATTTGACGATCTAAGGTTAAATCCAAATGTATGAGCTCAGCAGAAAGAGTGACTTCTATGCTCCTAAGTAAGGGCGATTAAGAAGCTGATGGCTCGGAACTTCTAAAAGCATTAAATCTCTTTCGAGTACAACACTTGTTTTTTTTTTGCATTTCTAGCAGATTTGAGGGGGGGAAAAAGAACAGTAAAAAGGAAATGTAATTTGTTAAAACTATTTTCGCAACAGACTCAACACGCGAGCACAACAGATTAGACAAGTTCATATGGCTCGTATGTTTTAGCGACGACAAGAAACTGCCCGCCCCACTGGGGTGCCCAATTGATATGGATGTATACACACACACACACACACACACACAAAATCACAAACGACCGCACAGACATAATGTGCATAAAATTAGAAAAGTAAATTTAACAAAGAATAAAAAATACATACAAACTCTCGCACACACACACACACACACACATAACCACACATTGAACAGTGTGAACGTATGCCAAAATTCATGCTTCAAGCGGATGGATTTGCATTGTGCCAACAACTATCGAATACTACATATAACTGTATGTATGTACATATATATTTTTATGTTCAAAAATTGTGTATTTGCTATGTGACCGCATAAAAGCTGAAAAAATGTTGAAATGTTTGCGCGTTATGTACGTGTATGTACGCATAGCATTAGCGGCATCAAACGTCTGGGCTTGTCGCCAGCCTAATGGCGATGGCGGTAGTGATGGCTCTACATACTCGTATAACGGCAGCAGGCATCTTTGCCATTTCTTAATTCTAATTTTTTCAATTTCCTAAAATTTCCTACACTTGTTAAATACACATTTTAGCTGAAAATCTCTGTTTTTCTAATACTTGAGATTTGGAGAAATGATTTTGTAGTGCCTAGAACAATGGGCAGCGGGTAAATTTGTGACGCGTGTACAAATACATATATACAAAAGCAGTGTGTATGTATATATGCCGAGAGAAACTTATTGGCTATTTTATTTTGCCAAAAAAAAGACCGATTATCCAAATTTTTTCCATAAAAAAAAATCGAAAGACTGTCACGCCGAAGTCTGGATACCTTCCAGGAACTTAACAAATTTATTACAAAAAAAAAAAAAAATATATATAAATTCGATTTCGATGATTTTCGGGGTCAATATCGATGTACAAATTTCACTCTATTGCATGCTCTTCCGGCGGATTTTTGACCCAAAACGGCATATCTAAACAAATCGGTTGCATTAGAGCTATATGATATAGCTCTCCGATTTCGATGATTTTTGAATGTTTATTTGTATCAGGTGTACAACTTTCCTTCCGCCGTTTTTTTTCCCCAAAATTAAAAGCTTTATTGCGAAAATGTGCTTACAGATTCATTATTCAAAGTATTGCCCTTCGCTAGCGACAACTTTCTCCCATCTTTCCGGCAATTTTCGGATCCCGGCTCGAAAAAAGGAGTCCTCTTTTGCCGCTATCCATGAAGCAATCCATTTTCCCATTTCTTCGAAGGATTGAAAATGTTGAACTGCCAGGCCGTGTGCCATCGAACGGAATAGGTGGAAGTCAGAAGGGGCGACATCTGGGGAATACGGCGGGTGGGGCAAGACCTCCCATTT